AGAAGCAGTGAAGTACTGACTAAATGAAACATGATAGGTATTGTTCCTAATGAAAATCCAATTTTGGTCAGAAGGATATGTCTAGCATAAGCAATAGGAAATGAAGAAAATAATTGGCCAGCTATATAACAATAACCTAAGTTGGAAGTTCAATATTGCGGTTGAAACAGTAAATTAAAGACAATCTGTAGAGAAGCAGCGTCCTATTTTCTTCTTGAGAAAAGAAACATCTGTGCGAGAGATTTGATGTCTGCTCCGCTTCTCGTCTATAAAAAAAAGTTTGAGAAAGGCCGACTTGAACGTCAGGGTCAGCTACTTGCAAATATTAAAGCAAGTTGGCAGCATACTACAACTCTCAATAAGATTACCTGACACTCTTGCTTTGTTGAACGGAGTAAAGCAGGTCTTGCTGTCCACTCGCAAATGCATGTGGCAATCATACCTCGACCACTTCAGCGAAATGGGTCAACCATATGCTCTATTTCCCGAAAAGCTTGCTAAATTCCTACAGTCCTAAGGATACTCATGAGTATCCATAAAAATTGATCACCTCTTTATTTTACTGAGCCCTCATCAGCAAAATATATATATATATATATATATATATATATATACATATATGTATATATACACAAAGCATCATCAGCAACATGAGAGTACATCATTTATATATATATATATATATATATATATATATATATATATATATATATATATATGACCACACACAGACTTAAATGCCGTCCTATTGGGCGGCATTTAGGCTAACCTTTAAGTATTGCATTAATATTTAATATTATTGTTTAAATGTTCAACGATAATACTTGTGCCGCCACTTAATTTAAAGACATTTCGATTTACGTAGTTCCTTACTTTCCGTGGAAACAATGATTTTATTTCATGGATGACTTTCACTGGATTTTGCAATGAATTTCGATTATTCCCAAATTTATTGCCAAATTCTAAATATTGTTAGCGTACAAAAAATTCGTCACAAAAATCTTCGAAAGCAATCAGATTAATGAAAATTTGAGGATTGCATGTCCGGATCTGGCCCGGTATGTTTTTAATTTGATCACGGAATCGGCTTTATACCAAAATGGTATGATGGGTTACGGCCTCTAAGAATAAAGATGATAATATGGACAATTTTATTTTGACACAGTGTAAATTTAAAACATTATTTTTTTTCTATTGAACATGAGCTATTGAAAGCTCGAGTGTAGAAGTAGAAGCCAAGATGTCATAATCCAAATAAATAATCGCAGAAATGAAAATTCTACCTATATATATATATATATATATATATATATATATATATATATATATATGAGTGTGTGTGTGTGTGTGTGTGTGTGTGTGTGTGTGTGTGTGTGTGTGTGAATTTTGTAGAATTGATACAGATAAAAGTTTTCCTATTAACTTACCTTCAGGACACCGCCGTCAGTTTTATAGATGAACCCGTCTGTGCATTCTTCAGAGGAAATCACCAACTGACGGCTTATATTTCACGATGTTCTTTTTTTAATTCAACTTGTCATTGGTGCATGTTTTCCCATAATATATGTTTGGGTGTGTGCATTAGTGTGCATGTTCCCATGCGCTCGTCTGCGCGGATGTGCATACGTGTATTTTCTCGTGATTATTTCACATTTGCGTCGCTTTTTTTCTCTATTTTACACTCCCTCCTTTACCTTTTTATCCGTTTTTTCTTTCTATTTCTTTCCTCCTTTCTTTTTTTACCTCCTTTCTTTCAGTTGTTTCCATTTGTTTCGATTTGTCTCCCGGTTTTTCCAACCAGCCTTTCGTTCTTAATTTTTAAGCGTTCTAGTACAAAAACTAAATTCAAGGTATCTGTGTTTAGTGTTTTTTTGTACTTCCCCATTTTCAGATAAGGCGTTGTTATTAGGATCGAAATTTGGGACAAGTAGGTCGTGATTCATGTTTGTGGTGACGTTTGATCAAATATATTCTACCGTTTCTTTTATTTTCAAGAACAAATGTGATATCAGTGTGGTAGACAGATTTCCTGTGTATTCAAACTTATATTCTTCGGAAGGCTGAAAGTTTGTCTACTGTGTAACGATTATTGGGAACGAGGCAACGCGAAAACAAAACTTTACACACGTACAAACACATGCTCCCTCTCGTAGGTATAGCACTTTGGAAGAAGGAGAATTCGTCGGCTGCTGCTAATTAACGCTTAAATATCTCTGCAATGAATTGAGCACTCTGGTATCCGGGAATGCTTATATCTCGTATATAATGCGTTAAAAATTCCCTTTCTGCGTTGCGTGCGCTGATATCCTAAGTTTAAGAGACACCGAAATATAGCGAAACAGTCTATCTGTGGATGACTATATATATATATATATATATATATATATATACTGTTATGGGATCTTACCCATAATAATAATAATCGACTATTCTACTTAATAAATACTGCGCCTCAAGAGTCCAAGTCGAGTCAGCAGTTCAAGTCTGAACCGACTGCTTGGTTTGAACTCTCTTCCTACGGGCGGGAGGAACCCGAAGTAGGCTACGCCGAAGGGCGGAGTCTCCTTCGGGGAGGTAAAACCGGCCCAGAACCCGTTTATACGGGTTCAAATGGGCTATTTTTTGGCTGAGCCTAATGGCTCGGAAATGCCCACGTTAAAAAGGCCTTGTGCCACATGACACCCTCGTGGGGTGGTGACTGAATATCGTCAGTAGTTCAAGTCGAGTCAGTAGTTCAAGTCGAGTCGAGTCAGAGGCAGTCCGAAACACAGTCGCGTTCAGACGATTACTGCAAGACATTGGAATAGTGATACTGGTCGAGACTACATTGTTCTCTTTACTAAACCTGATTGTTCATACTAACACTTTCTACTTGTCTGTATATATTCCTGTTTGTAATATATCTGTGTTATTCCATATCTGTGTGCGAGTTCTTCTTTATTGGTTCTACCTTGGACTATCACAGTGGTACAAGGAATCGGACCATATATATATATATATATATATATATATATATGTGTGTGTGTTTGTGTGTGCACATCAAATTCAACGCATGGACACTAAGATATGTAACCTTTACAATTCATTTGATATATATATATATATCAGTCTCTTGCGAAAGTGATTTTTCTTTTCGTTCTTTGTATCATTTGAAGTCGTTTCTACCATTACTTTTCTTCTGTCAAATTGGTGTTTAAGAAAATGAGGCGGGAACAGTTACGGCGACTTTGGCAGCAGCAGCAACATCAACAGAATTAGCAGCAGTATTAGAGGAAGAAGAAGATAAATTCCCAGTGTTGAACATTACATAGATATATTTAGATGATAAAATATTTGGGTTAGAAAACTGTTCTAGCAACATGGGAAATGACAAATCTGCTTATCTTTGTGTCATAATCAGAAAACTAAACTTCTATATGACTGACATTGTTTCTCAGTTGGTGAATTATACTTAAAGCTATGCTTAATAAATAACGAGACTGGAACACTAAAATAATTAGAACTTTTAATTAGCAATAACAATAGTTTCATATGTACTGATGTATTGATCATATAAAATTCATGTTTATTATAGGGGAATTAATCACCGTTGATTTCTATGTTCTTTTTTGTTTTTTTTTCGAAAAAAACAGAAGATAAAAATATTATATGTTCAATTAGATTCAGAAGAAATATATTCTCTTATATCAGTTCTTTTTAACTGCTTATTTTCTCCTTATCATAATCTAGTAAATGCTTAATTAAACATTATTGAACGAAATGTCTTAATCTAACCCAAACTGAATAACATTGTATTTCAATGCGCAACATTAACATCTATCACAGCAGGGCCGACGCGTACTACCACCAAAAACCTGACCTGGGGGATGTGTCAAACTTGATTGGCGGCCTTTTGATGTGCTTTCTAACCCTCGCTACCTTTTCAACATTTGCTTTTCCCATCTAGGTTTATATATATTGCAAGTTAAACTAGGAAAACTGACTATTAAAAGAAAGAAAAGTTTCGCGGATTTTGATTTATATTCCTTTATTTTTTTCCCGCCTTAATAGTGTTTTTTTTTTATCATATTCCCTAATACTCAGTAAAACCTTGCTTCTTAGTGGCTTTATTACCTTGCTTGAGTTGGAATGATTAAAAATCAACTGAGACTCGGAAATAAGTAGGGTAAATAAACTTACTATATATCTACCATTTTTAAATTGGTAAAATAAAATAAAAGGAACATAAGATAATTTCCTTACTCTTTACAAATTTTCTATAGTGAGTGCATAAACATATCAACCCCAGGAACACAATTCTTCCTCTGAATATTATAAACTAATTTATTTATCATTTCTATGTTTAATTTAGAAATGATATAATCTGCTAAATATTGATTTCTGTGTCTGTGAAGTAAATGAGAAATAAACGCGTTTAGGTTGTTGTTAATATATTGATCTTCAGTCTCAAAGTAACCGCGTGAGTCATCCAGAATTTGGAGAGGCATTTTACCAGCAGCCTCAATGAGATTCCATTATTAATTTAAATTTTGAAAAAAGAAATAATCAAATAAAAACATTGCATTCAACAGGGATTGAACTCGAGGCTTGGAAACTAAACTTCCAAATGACCCGAGGCTGTTGTTGCATTTTACCAATTGGCATCGCATTTTTGTTGTTGTCTCTTGCAAAATAAACACATAGAAGCAAACGCTAGGGAAAGCAGACAGATGTGACGCAATGAATATTTGGAAATCATTATCATTCGACATGCTGCCTGGATATATGTGTTTGTTTGTAACTGATTGGTTAGGGCCATGGGTGTGTGGGGTGGTGTGATTGATAAGAAACTGTATGCGTCGAAAAAGAACACTACGTTTGTGCATGTGTGTGATTGGGTGTGAACTCTCGTTCGGATGCGCTTGTGCGTCATCCCAGGCTGACTGAACGAATGTGAAGCTGATAAAATCATACTAATATTTGCGGGAATATCTTGGTTTGGGATTGGAGGAAAGTAATCATTAACTGGTAAAACTCTTTGAGAGATAGGAGATCTCAAAGACTAAATTATGAAACGGAGGAGGAATAATGAAAAATGGGGAAGAGAAAGGTAAAAGAAAACAAACAGGCATGAAAATTATATGAAAGAAAAAAGAAGAAAATGTTAGTTGAAGAGACGAAAAGAAAAAGAAGACAATGAAAAGAGAAGGGAAAAGAAATAAAGGCAAAAAGATAAAAGAAACAAAAAACAAAGACGATAAAACTATACAAAAACAACAAGGGTAGGGATAAAAGGGAAAGCCAATAATAAACGATAAAACAAAGAGAAAGACAGAAAGAAATATAGAAAGAATGACAATAGCAAAAAGGAGATAGATAGATAGATAGATAGATAGATAGATAGATAGATAGATGTGAATGTATGGAAGAAAGAATAAAAACAAAACAATAAAAAAGTAAAAAGAAAAACACAGGTGATAAATAAATAAATATATAAATATATAACTAAATAAGGAAGAGAAACGTAGAAAAAGAATAAAACGGCACTTGCAGGAAATGCCAAAAATAAAATTGAAAAAAATGAAAAGCAAACGAAAGAGTAAATAATAATACACCTCAGAAAAAATAAAACAATAGGAATGTAAATCCAATCGAAATAAAGAAGGAATAAATGCAAAAATGAAGAATACGTAACAAATGAATAAAAAAGTTTAAAAATAAAATAAAACAAAGAATTAATGAATAAAAAGAACAACATAAAGAAAGAAAGATAAGGAAGCAAATCCGAATCGTAGTCACCAGGAAAATACAAAGAAAGAGGCAAATGAATGAAAACGTAAGCAAGAAAGATCAACGATGATTAGGCACATAAAGAATATAAGAAAGAAAATAAAAAAAGTGAAAGTAAAACAGGGAAAGCGCATGAATAAAAGTGAAAGAGAAAATAAAGACAATGAATGCGAAAACATTAAAAGAAACAGTTTTAAAATGCATGAAGAAAGTAAATAGTAAACAAAAAGGCCGAAAAGAGAATAGATAAAAAAATTATTATACAATGAAGAGAAAAAAATACTTTTTCAAAAGCATATTTTTAAACTAATGAAAGTAAGAGAATTTGATACAAAAACCGAATGACATCCAGTTTATAAAGGAGTAACTACACACTTGTGATGCTGAAAATACGAGAATATATACGCATATATATATATATATATATATATATATATATATATATATATATATATATATATATATATATATATATATGTATGTGTGTGTTGTGCGTGTGTGTGTGTAATAGAAACACATAAATGTTCATCTACTTCTAAATACGTGGACTGTTGTTAATATATCATTCAGTATTCCGTTTACAATCGCGCAAACATGCGTCGGAGAAAGCCATGTGGTTATTATTTTATAATAATATTAAGGTATGAAATATGACCAAATGAAATTAGATTATTTTTTATATCGATTTCAACAAATGCATTTCTCTATTTAAAGCTGCTGCGTATTTATAAATATATATAGATATATATATGTTTGTGTGTGTGTGTGAGCGTGTGTGTGTGCCTGTGTGTATTACGATTTATGGAAAGTTGGGTGTAGAATCTTAAATAGGTCTGCATTATTTATAAAAGATTTATTTTGCTTCAGTTATACAAAATCAAATAAATTTTCTTTTGAATATTAAAGAATATTCTGCTCTTTTTACTCAAACCTGAAACTGTAGTTAAATTCGAATCCACTTAATGCCATAACATACTGACAGCTCCAATAAATTATCACGTACCGTATACACCGGTGTATAGGTCGAACATTTCACATAGTTTTTTATTCAATAATTCCAACTTTGTTCCCGTTAGGAATAGCCCGGAATATTTTGAAGCTTCAAGTAAGAAAATTATCTCCTAGTAAAAAAGAAACGAAAAGTAAAGCAGGACGTTTGCTACAATGAATGAAATTGAAATCATTATTTTATAGGGATTTTCTGTCTTTGAGGTGTGTAAACTTGTTATTTGGAGCTTTACTTTTCCCAAGGCTGATGTAAACGATAAAATAGGATTAATTGTTATGCGAACAAAAGATTTTATAAGTTATAAAAGATAGTCTTTTAAAACGCAAATGCATTGTTTGATTCGCATGGAAAGCAATCTCTACAAAGAGAAAGGGATATATATGTATTTGTCTCTGCTTCAAATTAAGGAACACTGCATCCAGGAAATTGAACCAAGTGATGTAGCGGATCAGATGTTCCCTTCAACCAATGAGAACTCTAAGGCTCAACTAAAGGACTTCTGCTCATCGAACGCAACTCCCCCTTGGGTGACTTGAAACTAATCTCCAAAGAATTCATGGGCAAACTGTGGCTCGCGTGGTTTTCTGAATAGCTCACCTAATTTCAAAGGAAAATAACGGTAAAATTTGTTTGTCTCGTTTCGTCCTCATTGGTTCACACACACACACACACACAGACTCCTCCTCAGTCAAAAACGGTTGGGTGACACTCGTGTCACTGTGGAATAATTATTACACACCGACTTGTTGCCAGTTGCATTATGGGTACACAAAATAGGGAAAAAATGCTTACGGAAGTCATCCATGTAATTTTCAAAGTGCCTCAGAGTCAATCTACATCAATCCAAATATTGAAAAGCCTCACGATTGGTATCTCTTCTCAGGATATTATCTCAGCGAAACAAAAGGATTGATTTGATGTTCCATTTCTGATTCCACCGCTAATAACGGCTTCTTATAATTCAGCGACTGTAAACACACGATCTAATGACACGATTGACGGCATTTTCAAAGTATAAGTGTGCACAGTGCAGCATGTTTTTTTTTTTGGTTTTTATTTTTTGCTTCATCTAAAAAAAAAACACAGATTTCTGTAGATATTCTCGGAGAAGTTGACTAAAGAATATTCATTTGTTGAAGAAAATAACTGACCAGTATATTTAACATGTTTTGAAATCGTCCCCGCTCTTAAAGAATATAATATTAAGCGTCATTACACTTCAAAATATTTGTGCAAAGGATAAATTTAAATGAATATAAATGATATATCAGAAAGGAAAAACAGTTGTTATATCTACTAATATACTAAAAAAGAAATGAATAAAATATAGAATTTTGGCACAATGCCGAAGAGGGAGGGAATGAGTTGAGGCTGGTCGTCAATTGCAATATTATACCGAGCTAATCCGATTCACAACCCAGTCACACGTTAGAATTGGCACATTCACGACAAGAACCCATTCATCACTAATCGACTCTCCATATACCATAATACCACATACTCCCAGGGGGTCCTACAAAAACACCCCATGATTTTAGAATTTTCATGATTATACAATAATATAAAAATCTATTCATGATAGAAGGAGTGTTGAGGGGTTGAACCCAAAAACTGAAATATCAAAACAAACAAACAAAAGATAAAATATGGTAGTTCGACCCGTTCAAACCTCAAAATAGAGAGGCCGCTGTATTCTGCCTATGGATAAAATCAAGATGTTCTCTCGATAAGGAAGAAGGAAAGGAAAAATAAATAGGGAAAGAAGAAAGCTGACCCAGTCACGATGAAAAAGTGAGCTCAAAAACAAACTGGGCGGATGGGAATCTCGACTAGAATCATAACCAAAGAAGCAGGCCGATAGCAGGCCGGTAACGACACTCACTCATATTAACTAGGTACAGAAAAGTGATCAATCCTAACCAGGCAAAGGTTCCACAGGTAACCACCCCGATCTGACGTAGAAGGAAATAAAAAGAAAATCAAGGCTATCCCCGTTCACACGAACCAAGCTCGCTTTAGTCACCCATCTCAGGCTGAAGTCTGTCGAAACCAACCATTTCCTATTAGTTCTAATCTTCATGCTGAGCTGGTGCTCAAGGAATCTGCTCAGATCCTGATGAGAAATATGGCTGCCTGCTGTCGCGTCGTCCAAATCACCATTCGGGCCGTGGCAAGCAACGATAGAAAAACATTCGTTTCACCCCAGAATACAGACATTTCTTTCAATAAATTAATTTGTTTTTTTTTTGTTTTTTATTGCCTTGAAAAATCCACATTGTTTGAAATGCGGATTAAACTATATTTTTCCTATTGTCGTTTCTCCTTAATATATATGTGTGTGCCTCTGTGTGTAAGATTAAGGTCATGCATAAAACTAAAACATTTTATAACATTTTTATAAACATTTATAACATGTTTCATAATACAATTGTGTGCCTGTGTGCGTGTATGTGTGTGCGTACCTGTATGAATATCAGCAATTGCGTGTCTCTTCTGGATTCAGGCGTTTCCTTATTTCTTGAGTTGTTTCCTGTTATGCTTTACTACTACAGACCCCATATCTCAATCTTCTGCTTCTTATTCAACATATGTTATCCTTTGGGTATCATTTATCTTATATTTTCCTTCATCTGTTTCCCCGGATCATTGTATGCTTACTTAATCCATTAGAAGTGATGAGATATGGAGAGAAGTTCCGATATCAATCTACTCAAAAGTCTGCCTAACCTAATGCAATATTTTCCATCTCGTCATATATACAGTAGCGAGCAGAAAGATCAGAAAGATGTTAAGAAAAAAATCTAAATGTGAAAGAACTTTTTATTTTAAAGCTTCAAAGAACATTTTATCAAGGAAAAATAAGGATATAAAGGTGAATTATATAATTCCAAAATATAAAGATCAATAAACTTATTTTGATAAAGTTCTAAGAATAAAACATTCGAAAAAAATGGATGATCAAAAACATCAGAACGATTAAATAAATCCATAAAATTTTCAAATTATTTTGCATTATTGAAATTTTTTAAGGGTAAGAATATAAAATAGGGTATTTTATTAAATTTTACCGACTCTTTACTGGCTCTTGCATTGTAAACATGGCGAAAAAATATGTGACATGACTGGAACTTAGAAAACTGATAGTCAAGTTATGTAATGAAGATAAATCTTCGATTGGGGATATTTGAACGGTTATAGGGAAATTTAAGTCTTATTCATATTATTTTAAGAAAACTTGAGGAAACTGGGTCATCTCAAGTCAAGAAACCACCTGGTAGGCCTAGGAAAATTATTGCAAAGGAAGACAGATGGATTGGTAATGAACCAAAAAAGGATCCATTTGCGACAGCAACCGCTATCTCTAAAAGAGCTAATGCTAAACTTGGCATTAAAATATCAAGGCACAATATTTATCGAAGACTTAATGAAATAAATTTGAGCAGTCGAGTATCCTTCTACGAAGCCTTGCATTTCTAAAAAGAATCAAATGAGTCGATTAAAATTTTCCACTGAATACTTCATACGGACAGAAGAACAGTGGGATTGTGTTCATTTCAGCGATGAGTCAAAGTTTAACCTGTTCGGTTGTGAAGGGAGAAGGTTCGCTCGACGCAGTCCTAAGGAACGATATTCGCCTCCGGGAACTAAAAGCAGCGTTAAATTTGGAGGATGAAGTGTGATGGTGTTTGGCATGATTTCATCTGCTGGTACGGGACCTCTTGTTAGGCTACACGGTAAAATTAACGCAACTGTATACAAAGAGATACCTAATTTGAGAAATCCAATTAATCATCCACCTGTATTTATGCAGGACAACGCACCGTGTCACACAGCGAAGTCTGTTAAGACATTTCTTTCAGAGTAGGATGTTACTGTTATGGAGTTGCCTGCTCAAAGCCCAGACATGGATCATATTGAGAATGTTTAAAGGTTATTAAATGAAAGAGTTAAGGAAAAGTATCCAACAAGTGTCGAAGAACTATGAACTAATTTGAAAAGGAGAAGTGGAGAAAATATCCGTTAATTAATGCAAGACATTATTCGCTCACGTAGCAAAAGATGTCAAGCTGTTATTGCAAGTAAAGGTCTACACATCAAGTACTAATGAATTATGAACGCTATTTTCTTTTGGATAAGATGTATCCATTATAATAGTATGATTTTGATCGT